GAAGGAAGGAAGGAAGGAAGGAAGGAAGGAAGGAAGGAAGGAAGGAAAACAGTTCAAATCACAAATGTACATCGTTAAATTCTATTCCTTCCCGGTAAGGGTTCCTGAACCCTTAGGAGAATAATTGACTTCTTCACAAAATCATTTTCCTACAATTGCTCTAGTTAGAATATTCAGTCAAATGTTGATATATACCATATATGGCATACAGATAAAGTACTTTCAGGAAACACCATGTGGTGTCTGAGTGAGTCTATCCTATTACATGGCCTTGTGCTCCCTACTTATAAACACACAAGCAGAATCACAAGTCTTAAGTCACAAATTCTCTAGCATTAGACCCGATTGACGCCAGCCACAGATGAGCATGGGATTGAGACGTCATCTTTAAAAAACATAAAATATTTATCCCCAAACATTTCTGATTCCACTTAAAGTTTGAATTTCTCCCTTGCCCATTAGCTCCTATTTCCATTCGGAGATATTTCCCTTAAAATCTGCTATAAATCCACACGTTGTTGCTATTATAAAAAAACGAGCCATGGTGGGGAAGGCCGTGCCTCAGTGGGTAGAGGAGGTACGTGTGGAAGCATATTGGCCTGAGCTCAGATCCTCAGTACCCAAGTGAAAGCCAATCATTTCAGCAATGCACCTCTCATCCCAGGGTGGAGCGAGGGCACACAGCAGGGCCTGGGAGCTCACTGGCCAGCTGCTCTAGCCAAAATGAAGGAAAGTTCTGGATCTAGGAGAGACCCCATCTCAAAAAAAAAAAAAAAAAAAAAAGTGGGGTGGTAGAAAAAGACACCCAGCATCAAACTCTAGCTCCACTTGAACAGGCAGAATGTCCATACACTTGTGCACATATACATATACCTACATATATACATACATGTATACATAGACATATGTATCCCACCCACTCACACTCTCTCTCTCACACACACACTGGGAACCACGCACAGTCTTTTATTTTGGTGTGTGTGGGAGGGAGGTTACTTACCTGTTCTGGAGCAATTTAAACTTTTGCTGTCCTTGAATGAAAATAGCATGAATAATGAAGACGAATCCTGACGAACAGCCAGATGGTCCCTAACTCTAAACCAGAGCAGGATTATCATGTCTGCCTGAGGCACTCATCTGTCATGCAGACCCTTTGTATGTTAGCGTATGTTCTTTCTGTATGTCAGTGCTGTAGAGAACATGGAACCTCTTTCAGCAAGTGTCTTTATATTTCATGTTGACTCCTTCACCAATGTGAAGGCTGATGATAGAGAGAATATTCCACTACATATCCAAAGCACTGACAACTATCAAGAGAGTAAAGGATAATGTTCTGAGAACGAGTCCCTATTTAATCAAGGGAGATGGCCCAGAAGCCTGAGCGCCCCTTCTATATGTCTTCAGCAAAGCTGCTTCTTCCCAACACCAGGCCCTAGCCTTCCTCCTACCCCTAGGTACTTAGCCCACAAAACATATTTCTGTGATTTCTTTCCCATTTGACATGTAAATCTCTTTTTAAAGCCTCTATCCAGTTTTATAACCCACCATGATTTTATGCAAGGACATAAGAACCATGTCTTTGAAACCAACACCCCTCTCTCAGTCTTTAGGTGAGAATGGGATCCTAATATCTATGGACCATTGGCCCCAAGATATTTCACTTTAACCTTGTGTAAAACCAATTAGCAAACACAAATGACCGAACATTCCCTTTGCCTTTTGTTTCATTGCAAGGCTGGCCTGAGTTCTATGATCACTCCACTTATTTCAGCAATCTTCAATCAAATCTTCTTTGCCTGTTCAACTTTGAACAGTTCACTTTTTGCTTTCATGAGAGAAACTGCAAACATGATAGAGCTGGTTGATGTTGTGTTTTTTTGTTTTTTGTTTTTTAAGTAAAACTTTTTCCTAGGTGCCCCTGTTCCAAAATCCTGTACGATGTTTTGTTTAAACAGTTTACCAGCAGGAGCTTTGAAGATATTTCAAATATTTTTAAGAGACCCTCTCCTTTTTACAGGAGAGGTTGGGAATAAGAAAATAGTCACCAACATTGTGTTATACTGTCATTTTTTGAAAAAGTGCCTTCTCCTCTCCCTGCTTCTAGTGTCCTTGGCTGCCAGATATCTGCTTGGTCCAATGTGCAAGAGGGAACAGACCCAACAGTACCAACTGCATCATCTTTGAGATCAACAAGTTCTTAATTGGTCTGGAAGTGGTGCAGGAGCGCCAGCTCTACCTGGAGAGCCATGTTTTGAAGCTGGAGGATGACACAAACTGTTCCCTGTCTTCAATCGAAGAGGATTTCCTTACGGCCTCTGAGCATTTGGAAGAAGAGATCGAGGTGGAGGAATGCGGGAGTGGTAAGACATTGCTGATAAAACAAGTATGTCCCCCAACATTAGTCACCCAACCCCAGGCTGCGACATTGTCAGTGGGAGAGTTAAGAAAAGTGTCTCGGGTTAACTGATACATCACGGTTTTTACCTGCTGAGGTTTGATGAGTCAGTTGTAATGAGAGAACGCCAGTGAACATGCTGACTAATGCACTTAAGACAGCTTTTAATGGTTGGATGGATACTGGCTCCCAAAAGACGCCTTAGGGATGCTGAGGGAAATCTGTGAATTATAAAGGGAAACCTTCCTACCTACCAAGAGGAAAGTTAGTTTCTATAAAACTTCCAGAAAAGCCGGCATTATCTGCTGGAACCAAGTTGGACTGGCTTGGATTCAAATTCCAGAACTTCCTTTGAGAGACCTGAGACTTTTCTCTCTAATCTCTTTTAAGCCCTGGTTTCCAAAAGTGCTTGTAGTTAGTGATGGTTGTGAGATTAGAAGGCAATGACCCAGGAAAGTGCTCAGCAGTCATTTACATCTATTGACTCATTAACAGAACTCAATGAACATGCTCCTCTTCCCACCTTAAGCCCCAGAGAGAGAAACTGCACAAAGTGTTACATTATTGCTGTGGCCAGACCTATGCAAACTTCAGTGCAAATCTTTAACAAGGCTCCAACTGAAGTTCTTCTAACCCCCAACCCCATCCGTTCTTTCTCCCTTCCCTAAGACGCAAGTTCCTGTGTCACTTTCCCAGGAAAATTGATTCTTTCCCAAATACCTTCTCCTCCACTAACCTCTGTGTTTATGTACCATAGTAAAGGTGTTCTATAGGACAACATCACATAACAAAATTCAACATCCTTATCAGATTTATTTTTAACTGAGGCAACAGCCACAATGTTGTATTAAAGGGGAAAGAGGAGAGCTATATGCAAATTAAAAACAATTGTTAGTTTTGGCCCGTTAGAATATGCTATCTGAAAAGTAATGATGGTCCTCAATTTCTCTTCACTAGGCTTTGAAACTATAAATGTGTCAGCTAGTGTGCTGGAAAGTAAAAAGACAAAGGAAGCTACCCAGGAAGGATGGGATTATCACAAGGAGAAGTTGCATTGTGCTTTAGGGGAAAAACACATTAAAAAATACCGTATGCCTTCAATGAAAACAGAAGGATCAAGGGAAAGCATAGCAGAAAGCACAGCCTTGACAAGCCTCAATCCTTCAGCCCAGTCACCTCTCTGGAAAAGTAAAGCAGCAGGGAACAAGCAGGTGGCCACCAACTACTCCTACCCTGAAAATATCAAAGAAGAAATAGAAGCATCTCAGATGCTGTATGCACCTAGGGATGCTTATCTCTCAATGGTTAAGAAAGACGTACCTCCTTCGTGTGGTGCAGTCACTGAGCAGGGCAGCAAACCCAGAGACCGTGATGCTGCTCAAACCCCTCTTCTCCCCATTCCAAAAGGAGAAGCCACCACGGGAGAGTATGCTACAAACTTAGCGGAATCTGTAATGCAGGATGCCTTCATCAGACTGTCTCAGTCACAGCCCACACTCCCCCAGGAACCAGCAGTCAGTTTCTCTGTGGGAAGGGCTCTGTTTCCCAGTGGATGTCGCACAAAAGACATGGTGGTCTCTCGTTCCTGGAACGAGCTCCCCAAAATTGTCATTGTGCAGAGCCCAGAGGGCAGCGATCCTGCCCCCGAACCAAGTGTCTCCTCTTGGTCGGACATGGACGCTTCTGTTGAAACCTCGGGCATCTTTCCTGGAGAGGGCTCTGGCCGACCCACTCAGAGTACACTAGAGGTTGCTCTGGCTTGTGCCGCCACTGTGATTGGAACCATCTCCAGTCCACAGGCCACAGAAAGATTCACCATGGAGCAGGAATCCCCAGTATACATCTACGCCCAGAGAGGCAGCGGGGTCCAGCAAACTCAAAAGCCCCAAGGACTCATGGAACCTTCTATAACTGAATATTCCTTTCCATCAGCTCTGTGCGGAATGACACAGGTGGCAAGTGCTGTCGCTGTCTGTGGCCTAGGCGAAAGAGAAGAAGTGACATGCTCTATAGCTCCAAGTGGCCTCTTGCCCACATCTGGAGTTTCTGACGAAATGTCCTCAGCTGTAAATTTAGAGACAGAGAGAGTCCCAGGACTGGGGAAGGAAGCCATTGCGGAAGCTCTGCTCAGGGAGGCTGCTCTGGTTTTAGCAAGGCCTGATGCATACGGCAGCCTTGGAGACCTCTTGGAGTCTGTGAAAAGGAGAATCATAGAAACTACTTCCAAAACCCAGAGTCTGTGCACAGAAAACGTCCGAAGGAATGAACTGGCACACACCTTGTCCAATATCATCCTCAAGCATTCCATTGATGAGCTCCACCCTACCCCCACCGAGGAAAAACATCCCGGTAGAACCCTAGACGCCTTAACGGACAGTGCCAACCAGCTGCTGCACAGCGTCATCTGCTTCACGTTCAAGAAGATAAACCACATGGTCACACACGGCGAACATTCTGCAGGCCTTTCTAAGGAGACCATCAACTGGACAGAGTCAGAGCCCCTCGGTTGCCAGTCATTTGATCGCACTGCTGGTCAAGCACGGGCGAAAGCCTCAGCGTGCTCCAGCCGCCATCCTCTTGGCGATGCGCAGGGCACCGGCCTTGTCTTCAGCGATCTTGCAGAGGATGCACCCCCTAGGCAAAACAAGGGTGGACCAAGGCCATTCAACAACCCTGGACTGCAGTCTGAACTCCCGTGCAGTTACCAAGTGCTTGATGCCACGGCTAAGTCATTCCCTAAGGAAATGCGTCTGAAAGGAATTGTGGGAGAAGACACAAGGCCCCTTCATCGTACATGCGCTTATGAGGACAATGAACAGAGATCCCCTGCAGAACTAGGAAAGCTGACAACAGGTGAGGGCTGCGGCGGCTCCCAGGAAGCGGAAGACAGCATTTTCCCAAACACCCAAGAGAAATACACCTGCGCCACACCCCAAACCCAAGAAGTTCAAGTTAACCTGTCCTTGTTAGGGGATGACCTGGCGCTTCCTGATCAGTCTATCCTACAGGCAAAGCGGTCTGAGGTCTACTGCATCACAGACTTTGCCGAAGAATTGGCAGAGACTGTTGTCTCCATGGCAACCGAAATCGCAGCAATCTGCCTCGACAACTCCAATGGAAAACAGCCCTGGTTTTGTGCTTGGAAAAGAGGGAACGAGTTTCTGGTGACGCCTAATGCAGCCGGCCGTTCCTTGAAGAGGAAGAAGGAAAACTCAGGCGGAGGCGGCTGCACTGTGAGGAAACACAAGCCACCTCGCCTCAGCGAAATCAAGAGAAAAGCGGATGAGCACCCGGAGCTGAAAGAGAAGCTGATGAACAGAGTCATGGATGAGTCTATGAACCTCGAAGACATCCCTGATTCCGTCAGTACCTTTGCAAACGAGGTGGCCGCCAAGATCATGAACCTAACAGAGTTCTCCATGGTGGATGGAGTGTGGCAAGCCCAGAGCTGTTCCCGGAATCGACTCCTCGGTGGAGACAGGTGGAACCGACTGAAAGCCTCCAGCTGTGAAAGCATTCCTGAGGAGGACTCTGAAGCCCGGGTCTTTGTAAACAGCCTGGGTTTAATGAGTACTTTGAGCCAACCAGTTAGCAGGGCCAGCTCAGTCTCCAAACAGTCCAGCTGCGAGAGCATCACGGATGAGTTTTCCAGGTTCATGGTGAAACAGATGGAAAACGAAGGGAGGGGATTTGAGCTTCTGCTGGATTACTACGCTGGCAAAAATGCCAGCAGTATTCTGAGCTCAGCAATGCAGCAGGCGTGCATGAAAAATGACCACCTCAATGTGAGACCGAGCTGCCCCTCTAAGCAGTCCAGTACAGAGAGCATAACAGAAGAGTTCTATAGGTACATGCTGAGGGACATTGCCAAAGAAAGCAAAGACGGCACCTCCTCCAGACGAAGCAGCCAGGACTGGACCACGGGCTTGCTGTCTCCCTGCCCTCGATCCCCGCTGTGTCACAGACAGTCCTCTATGCCTGACAGCAGGTCCCCATGCTCCAGGTTAACAGTAAATGCACCTGTCAAAGCCAACTCTTTAGATGGCTTTGCCCAGAACTGCCCTCAAGACTCCCTAAATGTCCAGCCAGTCAGTAGGGCTTCCTCATCTGGACTCTGCAAGTCAGACTCGTGCTTGTATCGCAGAAGTGGCACTGACCAGATCACAAACATGCTAATTCATGAAACATGGGCAAGCTCCATTGAGGCTCTCATGAGGAAGAACAAAATTATCATGGATGATGACGAGGCCGCTGATGCCAGTCCTGGTCCTGTTTCTGGTGGCTCTCCTTTGCAAATAGAAAAGTGCACAAACAGATTAGCCCTGAGCACAGGACACAGGGGGCCAACTCTGCTTGTGCAGGAATCTGTTGATTACCAGAGAAAGGATATCATTACGGAAGGCACCTGTTCCCCAGTGTCATCGCCAAGAAGAATATCCCCTGTTACAAAACATAGTGGTTTTGATCCTAGAAGAGAAACGTCTTCATGCCACAATGCCATCATTCTCAACAGCCCCAGGCAGGCCCTTTGCTCAAGGGATGTGCCTTTGATTCAGATAGAGACAGATCAGAAAGAGGAATGCGTTCCAGAACCAGAGCCCCTCCTTCCCCAAAGTGGCTCCCCAGAGGAAGCAGAAGGGTGCCAAACCAAAGAAACCATCCCAGATGTTGCCAGAAGCGCAGACACAGCCCTGAGCACCTCGCAAAGCTGTCGGTAAGTTGATCACTTCCAAGAGACCAGATAGGAAAAGACATCAGAGTCTATTCCTCGCTTAGTGTTATTCTAAGTCTTAGGAATGCAGGGATGTTATCAATGCACAAACAGACATTAAGTGACCCCTGTGGGCCCTAGAGTATGTGCAGAAAAGGAGGTGCTCCTCTCACCGTATCCGCTGACATTTTCTCCATCTTTCCTAAGACGGGGCCTGCTGTAATTGTGGATAATTACCATGATCTCACATGTGCCCGCTGGTTTACTTTGTTTAGAATGCCTGATCTTCAGTCCTCATCCATGATCAATACTCCTCCTGGTCATCTTGTGGAATTTTATTCATATACCTATAATAAGTCTTGGCTCAAATGCTATATTTTTATTGCATGTCACTCAAATACAAAAAAAAAAAAAAAAAAAAAAAACACAAAATGACTTTGCCTCCATATCCAAAGGGATCAGGTCAGTGCCTTTAGCTAATGTTTAGCTTTGTCTCATGAATGATTACTACAAAAATATGAAAACAGTAAGAACCTGATAAAATTCTAGTACACTTTGCTGTTACCAGGAGAAATTTTTCTTTTAGGCTATTTTACAATTAACTGTGAACTGTTTGAACATTTTCTCCGCATTTTAGATAACTGGGACAATAATGCAATGGCACAGTTAACTATTTGGAATTCAAAATTGATTTTATACTATAATCATGGCATAATAAAAGAGCTGCCTACTGGAAAAGAAAGGAGGAAGGGAAGGAAAGCATTCAGGCATTCAGGAAGGAAGGAAGGAAGGAAAGAAGGAAGGGAAGGTTGTGAATAACTTACATTTTGATTTCCAAAACAAATTGAATTACTTTATGCAACAGAAAAATAAAACACAATATAATGCTCCTCATTAAAGCAAGTACCCCATCTTTCCAATATATGCCTAGGAGTGGTATAGCTGGATCTTGAGGAAGCACTATTCCTAATTGTCTGAGAAAACACCAGATTGATTTCCAAAGTGGTTGTACAAGTTTACATTCCCACCAGCAATGGAGGAGGGTTCCCCTCTCTTCACATCCTCTCCAGCATGTATTGTCACTTGAGGTTTTGATCTTAGCCATTCTGATGGGTATAAGGTGAAACCTCAGGATCATTTTGATTTGCATTTCCCTGACGACTAATGATGTTGAGCATTTCTTTAAGTGTTTCTCTGCCATTCAATATTCCTCTATTGAGAATTCTGTTTAGCTCTGTACCCCATTTTTTAATTGGATTACTTGGTTTGTTGGCGTTTAACTTTTGAGCTCTTTATATATTCTGGATATTAGCCCTCTGTCAGATATAGGGTTGGCATATATCTGAAAGATGCCCAACCATACAACAAGAACATTTGCTCAGCTATATTTATAGCAGCTTTATACATAATAGCCAGAATCTGGAATTCCTCAATTGAGAAATGGTACAGATATTGTGGTACATTCACACAATGGAATACTACTCAACAATACAAAACAAGGAAATCATGAAATTTGCAGGCAAATGGATGGAATTAGAAAAGATCATCCTGAGTGAGGTATCCCAGAAGCAGAAAGACTCACATGATATATACTCACTTATAAGTGGATATTAGCCATATAATACTACTAAAATCTATAGTCCTAAAGAAGCTAAACAAGGAGGACACTTGGGAAGATGCTTAATCTTCACTCAGAAGGGTGAACGGTATACACATCGGAAATAGGAGAAAACAGGGAACTGGACAGGAGCCTGCAACAGAGGGCCTCTGAAAGAATCTACCCAGCAGGGTATCTAAGCAGATGCTAAGGCTCATAGCCAAACTTTGGGCAGAGTGCAGGGAATCTTATGGAAGAAGGGGGAGATAGAAAGAGCTGGGGTGGACAGGAACTCCACAAGGAGAACAACAGAGCCGAAAATGCTGAGCCCAGGTGGACCTCCAGAGACTGATGAATCAACTGAGGAACATGAAGAGGATCTAGACCCCCTGCTCAGATATAGCTCACAGGCAGCTCAGACTCCGTGGGGCTTCCCTAGTAAGAAGAGCCAAGGACTGTCTCTGACATGGACTCAGTGTATGGCTCTTTGATCACCTCCCCCTGATGGGGACGAAGCCTTACCAGGCCACAGAAGAAGCCAATGAAGCCAGTTCTGATGAGGCCTGATAAGCTAGAGAGAGGAGGACCTCCCCTATCAGTGGACTGGGGTGGGGCAAAGGGGGAGAAAAGGGAGGGAGAGTGGGACTGGGAAGAGATGAGAGAGTGGGCTACAGCCAGTATACAAAGTGAACAAATTGTAATAAATTATAATATCAGCAACAGTAATAATAATGATGATGATAATGATAATGCAAGTACCCCAACGGTTTGGTAGATTTTCAAATTATTCATGATTTTCAAACAAAGATAGCAATAATAAGCAATAAAATAAGGTTTTTTCATTTGAAAATAGTTAAATTTAAATAAATTTTAGTTTTAGAAACAGATTAATTTTTTTGGCATCTCTTCTCTGAGAAGGTCCCTTTTTTGTGTGCTTCTAAGAATCTCTGCTGAGACCCTGTGTCCGCCAAGTGCCAACTCTTTCAGGGCATAGTGTAACTGTCGCAGGGTTCTTAGTCTTTCTGGAATTCTGGCCAGTGATTTTCAGAAGACTGCACTGCAAGCAGGTTATAAATCCCGGGCAAGGTAAATACTTCCCTCAGGCTCCAGAAGGACTTTCTTTCCTGACTTCCGCTTTCTGCTCAGCACTCACAAAAGGCCACTGAATCATTCCTTTATCTTTAGTCTATAATTAAAGTTCAGTGAAACAGAAAAAAAATTCAAACTTTAGAAACACATAGATTGAGAAATCACCTGTGTAATCTTTTCAGAGATGTATGCCTACAGTTTACAATATACAGAAAGGATATATGTATATATATATATATATATATATATAGAGAGAGAGAGAGAGAGAGAGAATAAATAAGTTGAACAGAGCTATTACTAAATGTCAACAGTTCTCTAAAATCTGGGATGCATTCGCCCCTGAGCAGAAGAGATTCATGCTGAGGTGCTAAAGCACCCCACTACAGAGTTTCCTACATGGTGACAGCAGTAAACTGTCCAGCCAGACATAAGAACTTTCTGTTGGACAATGCTAAGAACTTTCCTTTCTAAACGGGTAGCGCTCCAGAAGCACCAAAAGAGAAGAACAAAAACACCGGAACCAAAAGCACAAAGCCAAGAGTAATGAAGCAGGCTTAACAGACAAAGAAACAAGGTGTTATCAACAACCATTTGGCTATGGACAGCATTCTTCAAAGATTGTGCTAGAGGGGCTATAGAGAAATATATCAGAGCTAATGACACAAAATAGCCAACGTGTAATTTTTCAGAATCGTTTGTTTGAAACACATGAAAAAGGGAAACACTGATTCTAGGTGCCTGACTTAAAGTGAGCAGGGGCCCAGAGATGTTTATTCAGTGAAGGTCACTGAATTAGGAAGCATTGTGAACTAATATTCAGCAAGCTTTAGGCTGCAGACACAATCAAATAATGATCATCATGACACAATTTGAAGTTGAATGTTACTGATATTATTCTAAAAACAGACGCAACCTAGAAAAGTTGCAAAGACTTTCTGCTTTATATGAGTAAACCGTAGCCGACTCGGATTCTTCTTCCATATAATCTCCCAAGCGTGCAACCTCTCACTTCAGGGTATGGATATATGATTCTGGCTTCCATCGAGTACAACAGAAAGGATGTAGACCAGAAATTTAAGAGTTGACTCTAATTTTCAAAGTACAAGGACTGAAGATTGAATGTCATTTTTGTTTTATGGAGCAATAAAAATAATCACCATATAACATGAGCTACGCTACTTTAACTGTATCGGCTTGAACTACTTTCCTATGTTCTTTCATTTTGGTTTATTTGCCCATAGGTAGGAATGATAATAATGATAATATAATATTCTTACAGTTTAAATGATTTGTACACAAAACTCTGAATGCAATGCTTTATCCATTATGAACATTCAATAAATCCACTTGGTTACCATTGCTGTTTATAATGTCATTTGGGTGAAGTTTTATGATGGCTTTTATTCAGGAGATGCCGTTCTCCCCAAGGGGAAACCTGTCATGAACAATGTGATACTTTTATTGAAAAGAGAATCCCAGGGTTGCCAAGCAGAAAAATTAGTCACAGCTCAGTTAAAATTTCTGAGCCCAGTGTTGCTATCATGGGATTTGACTTGCCAAAATAACTGGAAACAGAACTCCATTCCCCACGGAAGAGTTCAGCCCACTCTTCATGCAAGAGTAGGGACCGTGACACAGGCAGTCTCGATTGGTTTGGAGGTGGAGAAAGATTATGCCCTGAAGATATAATACATTTTTAGGCTTTTCTCTGAGGGACATCTTCATGGTTCCTAAAAATATAGTTAAAATTCAATACAATGTAATAAAAGCCATTTCTTACTTTTGATGACTTGACCAAAAAAAAAAAAAAAGTCACAACTGAGGCTCCATTGTAGAAATCATTCTTAAATGGAATTATTGACTTGTTAGTGTTATATTTTGAAGATGTATAGACTATAGTTCTCAATTCTTTTAAGAAAAAATACAAAAACAAAATCAGTCTCCTATTGGTGGCCACCACTTTCTCCTTAACACAGCATGACCTGCAGTGGGCACTAAAGAGTAATTAGTTAACTTTTGACACACTGATCCTTAGGAGGAGTGATAAACTGAATCCTGAGGAGTTACAGGATATCCCATGCATTGGCGTAATCTGATGTTTTAGAAACATTGAACAGACCTGTACAAAGAGAGTCACCTAGCCTGTGACAAGTGAGAAAAAGTGGTTTAATTTAGAAGACAAAGTTTCTGGGCTGGAGAGATGGCTCAGCAGGTAAGAACATTTGCTGCTTTTGCAGAGGGCCTGGGTTTGAATCTCAGCATCCACAGGGGAATAGGGATCACAATAATGCACAACTCTACTTCCAAGGAATCCAAT